ACTTCTTAACATATCCCGTAAATAAGAAAAAAAATTATGTCCATTACAAGGATGCAAAGTGGACTAATATGTCCCACTTATGGTGCATGTTGAACATCCACGAAAAATAAAGTTGAGCCATGAAGATAATCGTTTAAAGGATATACCATCTTGATCAAAAAGATCCCGGAATTACCACCAGCTGATGCTCTGAGTCAGCTGATTTAAGTTCTGTTTTTTTGGTCAGGTTGCCATATCTATCATTGACATTTCCACCAAATTTTATCGCCATAGCTTGACATTTGTAAAAGTTACGCTGTCTTGAGTACATCTACCTCTGCACGGTTTTCGATTTTTCCATTACCTCCTTTTGGCTTAAAATGCGTTCCCGTAGTGGTTTTTTGACTCGATCGAACAGAAAAAAATCGCAGGGAGAGCCATATCGGGTGAATTCGATGACTGTTGGATGGTATTCGTTTCGTTCTTGGTCAAAAATTCACGGATAATGATGACACTGTGCGACGGTGCGTTATCAAGGTGCAAATTCAACTCCATTTTTAAAACTGTAAAAAATCTGGAGACACGGTAGTGTCTCGGCGCTAAGCCAAGCGCAGCGACACTGCCGTGCCTCCTTTACGCGAACCGACGAGTTGTGCTCGATCGAGATTATCGGATCTCAATAACGGCTGAACCGATCGCGTTCTATATAATCGATAGCCACCGCACGGATTGTATGATAAAAGTGCTTTTATTTTTTTTCTACGTGCCCTACGAGCGGAGATATTGCAACACAAAGTCCGGATCTGTCATTTTTCACATTCAGATTCAGATACGTCGTTATTGTCGTCGACAAGGAAAAATGTCTCGTTTTTTTGATAATAGATGGCTTTTGACTTAACCAAGGGATAGCAGCATTGCACATTCGAACGTGATCAACCACACATGTCGGCTGTGATAATCAGCGATGGCAACACATTATTAATTAAAATTAAAATTAATATTAAAATTAAAATTAAAATTAAAATTA